ATATATATATATATATATATAATATACACAAAAATAAACTACAACTTGTACTAATATCCCTACTTTATGATTTTTCACTTATGGTACGGATCCCCCATGATAAACGAGGGACTACTGTATTCCTATTTCATCATGATATACTGTAGTACAATTTAGCAGATTTTATTTTATTATCCACTTTTACTTGATCTTTATTTAATTTAATTCATTTACCAAACAAGCATTTTCTATTTCATTAAACAAGTTACAAGAAGACATTAAGGATCATGCATTTCTTGCACTATGTTACAATTTCTCTGGTACAGAAGGCAATAAACCTGAACAGAAACTAATGGTGGTGTAATGTTCATTTTGACCAGCAGGTGGAGAGGCATTAAGGGGCCCTCAATCATCTAGCCCCCACCCTGTTCCTCTTCTGTCTTGGGCTGCTCTTGGAGTGAGGGGTTCTTGCACAAACTTCATTCTACACCACAGAGGGAGAACACATGTTGAAGACCAGGCAGAGGCAGAGACTATGCTAAGAAGCCGTTGGACTGGGCTTATTTTCTGATGTAGGAATATCATCCATTAAGTCAGGACTTTTATGAATTTGTACGGAGTAAATGTATTTGTAGACATGGATACATCTGTTGCTGTAAGTTCTTCTCTCCTATCTATTTTCTTCTGTCTTCATTTGCATCTCCGCTGTCTTGTTTGGGCCGCAATGGACTCCTGCTATGAGGATGGAGTTCCCAGCCGTTGTATGCCCAAGTTTGAGAATATTGCCTTCAATCGCACAGTGGTGGTGTCAAATGAGTGTGGCTCTCCGGCTGAAGACTTCTGCATGCAGACTGGCTCAACACGATCGTGTCACTACTGTGATGCATCAGATCCAGAGCTCAGCCACAGCGCCAGCTTCCTGACTGACTTTCACAGAAATGATGAGCCCACGTGGTGGCAGAGTCAGTCCATGTACTATGGCATTCAGTACCCCAATTCTGTCAACCTCACCCTCCACCTTGGTAAGAGCAGCAGCACAATCTGTTTTCAGTTTGACACATGAATACTTAGATCGGACTTTCCTCAACTTTAGTGACTGCAAAAAGGCAGAGTATGACAAATCAGGCATAAAATGTACTGAAATTTATATATATATATATATATATATATATATATATATATATATATATATATATATATTTGCATTTCATTTGATGTGTGTCATACCTTCTTTTTGGTTCTTTGCATTAATTGTGTTCATTTAAAAGGAAATCTTGATATGGAATATTACATGTTAATATATCTCAAAGGCACTGGAAATGACATGTCATTAACTTTTCACTTTTCCTTTCTTTGTGTGAAGTATTTTGATGAATTATTTTGTGAGCTGCATTTTCACACGGGATGGAGGGAATTTTTAATTCAAAACAGATGTTCTGAACAACACATGATGTGCATTATTTAGTCTAGACTCGTTTTCATAAAAAAAAAACAACTTTGGCCTAGACATAACTAAGACTCAGAGAATTTGCCACAAAGGCATGTACTATACTTTTGTAGTTTTCAGAGTGGATGACAAAGACATGAAGTTGCATTTTAGACAAAGAAGCAGAAAATGATTTATGCCCTTTTCTTTCAGTCCAAATGTCCAGTTTTTACATAATAGGTGTAAATGAAAATGCTGATGTAAAACTCAAGAAGAGTACACAGTCTTAATTCAATTTAGTTCAGTTAATTTATATAGTGTCAAGTAACAACAGAGGTGTTCTCAGGACACTTAACAGAAAGATTCAAATATATATACCTGTATATATATATTTTTATTTTATTATTTTTTGAGAAGGGCCTGTATATTCAAATGACTTCAATATTAAAATAGCACAAACAGCAACAAACATAGTTCTATTTATTCATAAGCAAAGATGTTAAATTATTAATATGGTAAATTGTTTATTTATAATGTTACAGAATTTAAATAGCAGAGATAAGAAGCACAGCAATACAACAAAGAGCAGAAATGTACTTATTGATCAATTACACTAACAACTGAACATAAGTTCTAAAATAAAATGACTTTTATATTAAAAGTGAAAAATCTCTGGAAAAATCAGAAATTTGCAAAAAATCAATTCAAATAAATTAATTTTAAGTAAACAATCCTTGCAGCATGGATAGTTTATTTAAAATATTACAGTATTTAAGTTGTTTATTTACACAGAAAGAGGGAGGTGATGAGTGTGACTGCAGCAGAGAAGTGGGCGTGGCTGAGAGTGGCGGTCATGACACGCTGCAGGAGTGAGTTTCTCCCTGCACCTGTGGGCTGCACACAGGTGCAGCAAGTGCTAAGTCCATCCATCCATCCATCCATCCATCCATTATCATTATCTTCGTCCTTTTCGGGTCACGGGAGTCACTGGTGCCCATATCCTGCTATCACTGTGCGAGAGTCAGGGGACACCCTGGACAGATTGCAAGTCCATCACAGGGACACATAGAGACAAACAACCATTCTCTCTCTCACTCACACCTAGGGACAATTTAGAGTTATCAATCAGCCTAACATGCATGTTTTTGGTCTGTGGGAGGAAACCGGAGTACCAGGGGAAAACCAAAGCATGCACGGAGAGAACATGCAAACTCCACCCATAAAGGCCCCGAGTCGAGATTTGAACTGGCAACTTTCTTGCTGAAAGGCAGCTGGTCTACCAACTGGGTCACCATGTGCTAAATCAGTTTAAAAAATATTTTAAATAAACAATCCATGCCACTCATGTGGCTCATCCATCAATCAGCCAATTGTGTGTCATGTCCAATCTTACTTTGAAAAAAACGCAAAATGAACGAGTCCGCGAAAGTCAAAGTCTACTGTATCCACATATCCATGAAACACATGTGTTTACAAGCTAGCATTAACATCACAGCTAGCCATTTTGGGAAGTTGGATGGACTTGTTCCTTATGCTAACCATAGAAACAGAAAATAATTTAGGGGTGTGTACTTTAGCTTCAGTACTGGTGCTGCTGAGATCTCTATAAAAGTTAGTGTGGGTGAGATTCTTCCAGTCTTCGCCTGTAAAAAGTTTAATGTTGGCACATGAGCTAAATATGTATACATATGTATATACATGGTGTTTGCTGTGTGGAGAATTTGTGCTGAATTAGCTTCTGAAAAGTAAATTTGGGCAACATCTGCGACTGTGGTTTGGAAAGAAGAAAACGTGTTTTTGTTGAGATAAGAACAGTATTTGGCATTAAGATTTAGCAATTGTACAATAAAAACTATGTAATTAAACATATATTTATTCATCAGGAATATGTGTCCCTTACATATTTTTTTTTACTGCTGCAATATTTTTAAAACTATAAACTCCATTATTTTATGAACTTCTACCCTTTATAAAGATCCAGCTTATTTATGGACTTGTTCTTCTGATAAATTTGAACTTTAAGGTATTTCAAAATGTTTTGAGTGCACTTTAAGACATGAACATCATTATCCCATTACCATCCTTACATAAGAAGCAGCCCACAATATTTGTGCAATAACCTTTTCTTCTTCCATTTAAATGCGTAGCTGTATTTATGTCTGCAACAAAAGTATTTAATAACAAGAGCATGTGCAAAGGAAAAAGGGGCATCGATGAAAAAATTATTGTTCCCAGTTTACCTTTAAAACTTTAACTGACTACTTTTTCAGAAGCTTATTGTGTTTTACTGACTCTCCATTTTTATTACAATGGTAAATACAAAGAAACTGTTTAATTTGTCCTTCCTCCAGGTTTCTAAGGTTTTGGTTTTTGGAACTGAGCATATTCTTAGGAATACATTTTTCAGACTTCCACCCTCATATGTCATTAATCTGTCCTCCAGTTCTAATGTTAAAAATCTTGGTGTTATTTTTGATCAGGACATGTCTTTTATCCCCCACATTAAAAATGTTACTAAAACTGCCTTCTTCCACCTGCGTAATATCACTAAAATTAGAAACATCTTATCTAAAAATGATGCAGAAAAACTGATTCATACATTTGTCTTGTCTAGACTGGACTAATGCAATGGTTTATTATCTGGGTGTCCAAATACTTCTTTAAAACGTCTTCAGTTGATCCAAAATGCTGCTGCCAGAGTCTTAACTGGAGTTAGTAGGAGAGATCATTTCTCTCCTATTTTAGTTTCTCTACATTGGCTCCCTGTCAAATCCAGAATTGAATTCAAAATCTTACTTCTAACCTACAAAGCTCTCAACAACCTAGGTCCATTTTATATTCAAGATCTTATTGTTTCATATTTTCCCAACAGAGCACTTCGCTCTCAGACTGCAGGCTTACTCATGGTTCCAAGAGTTTCCAAAAGCAGAATGGGAAGAAGACCTTTCAGTTCTCAGGCTCTTCTCTTGTGGAACCAACTCCTAGTTTCTGTCCATGAGGCTGACACATTGTCCAGTTTTAAGACTGGGCTTAAAACTTTCCTTTTTGATAAATCCTATGATTAGGGTTGGCTTGTTATTCTGCCATAGGTTTAGACTACAGGAGGACAAATTTACCTCATTTCCTTAAATGATTTGTTAAAACTGAATAGTTTTCATTTGATACTATTTCTATTTTAACATGTGATTCTCTACCTGCCATTGTGTATCTGTTCCTCTCAAGCCCAGCCGGTCAAAGCAGACGGTCACTTGTCCTGAACCTGGTTCTGCTAAAGGTTTCTTCCTCATAAGGAAGTTTTTTCTTTCCGCTGTCGCCTTCATGCTTGCTCAAGATGAGCATTCTGCGATGGAGTTAAACTCAAAGCAGTCTGCTCCTCAGATAAATAATGTTAACTTATAATTTAAATACATATATTTGTTTCTGTTCAGTGCCCTGAGACGACTTCTGTTGTGACTTAGTGCTATATAAATAAACTGAATTGAATTGAAAATAGTCTTAATCAGGAATAACGCATAAGGATCACACACCAATACATGTATTGTAATCCTAAAGGCCTTTGTTCACATTTAAATGGATCCTTCTTTGAGAATGATCTATGGATCCTCCTCAGTTCATGAAGTTCAACTTGCCAGTATTTGCCTACCGGTAATCTCACTGACGGACAGTTAAACAAACAAGCAAACCCATAGACAAGCAAACACTGAAAACATCCTTCTACCTTGGCCTCTCCTTGGCTGAGGAGTCAATAAAAGTCAGCAGTGACATTTCTGTGATGACAGGTTGAACCAAAACAGCAGAGCCCCGTCAATTTATCCTGCACAGCAAATGGAGCTGAAAATGAAAATAGCCCTGAGTACTAACATGAGCTCAGTTTGCATTGAAATCTACCCACTATGAGAATCTCAGCTACAAGTCAACTTTGAGATAACTGGAAAAATAAAACTTGATGCATTGTGTGCAAAGCACAACAACAGCTTGTTCCTATTGAAAAACTGAGGAAATGGTTTGCGTGTTTCACAAGTTTTCTAAAATTTCTGATCAAGGTAAAAATTGGTCGAGTACAGAAGGTTTTATCTCGAGGCAAAATAAAGACCAGGTCAGATTCAGGTTGCACTCTGAGCTCACATTTCAAAGTATACCCTGAAGCAGGATATAATTCCTCTGGAGTACAATACATAGCAACATGTGGGCACTTGAAAAGTAAATGTGAAGTTATAAAATGAGATCATAACAAAATTGGAAACAGTTTTTTTTTTTTTTTTTTTACTTATGTGTATCTTCAAATATTATAGTAAGCAATAGCTTAAAACAACAAGATTAAATTGACATTACTTTAGCAAAATATCCCATGCACCACAGGACAGAGTTAAATACAACTTTCAAAAATAAATCAATAAATGGTTAAACATCTATGACCATTTAACTTTTGGTGTCAACCTGATTCAAGATGGCTGCTACAGCTAAATTGTATAAATGTAAAAATGCAAAAATGACTGCAATTCACTAAGCTAAAAAAGAAGTGAGGTAAAAATGTGGTGTGGTATTAGCTGAGTCTTCTCCAACACACACTGAGTGCTGACAGATTAGGCAAAATGT